AGATGACATCCGCACATGCATCCAGCTAATCCCGACGTCGTACTCACACGCTACCACTACCACCACACGCTCTCCACTACCGTCACATGCCACATGTCAGTCACATGAACAAGATCGAACGGTTCGTGTAGGGTGCGCCCGATGCTGCGAGACAGTCCGTGTGCACTGTTAAGTAAGTATTCCATGTTTGCACCGTGGATGCAAAGGGTAATCTAGTATGCAAATAGATCGGCTAGTTCCATCCGAACGACTTACCTGCAATGCAAATTCTTACTGGAACATGATTCCTACTTCCACCCATCCCTCTAAATATAAGATGTTTTGAATTGCAAAATTTTCTTATATTTGGAGATAGAGGTAGTATGTTACAGCGGTATTCTCTCAAATAGAAATATATTGACGGTACATTATTTTTCCCATGATTGTTCCATTATTTTGGTATATTATAGGGCTTTATGGTTTTCTTAGATCGATCGTATATAACAAACCTTATGTTTACTCTTTGAGACTTTCAATAGCCAGTTTATAAATTGTGCTATGCTCTAAAGAGATTCTCAACAAACGTCTACAAATTTCCGCAACGCGCGGGGTATGATTTTTTTTGAGTTGCATGCCGCTGCTGAGATTCCGGTTCGGGTGGAGGGCCCTCAAATGATTGGAGATGTTTCTCCAAGGTGTGAGGACGTGCGAGTACACGTGGCGGCTTCTAAGGACCGCACACTTGTTCTGGGCAATCCTATCATGCATCAAGCCATGCAACAGCTGAATCAGGGAGGTGTGGGGGGATGACACGCCAGGAGGCGATTGCTTATGGTAAGCTGAAGTGGTTTTGCAACGCCTTGGTGAGGAAAATGGCACCACCACTCCTATTGGAGGTCTAGTCACCCTTAAGGCTTGAAGCCGAGCCGTACACACCACGCAGGGCCACGAGAAGCACCAAGAGGGCGCCGACTATCAAGTCTAAGGCCACGCAGGCCGAGAACGTTCTCATAAGGGCTCTTGGGTTGGTCCCGGAAGACTTAGAAGGTAACGAGGACACCATTGCCGAGCTAGCCGAGATATTTGACTCCCCTTTAAGGGAGCAACATGTGAGGGTGATTGCAGTGCTGTTTGGCAAGGAGGTGCCGCCGACCCCTGATGTGTGCACTGGAGCCGTGGAGGTGTTGAGCGCAACTTGATTCCGCTCGTCTCGTTTGGGTGTTCGGGTGTTCCCTCCTTTTTCATGGATTGGAACCCTCAAGTGTTGTGCTGGAACGTTAGGGGACTCAACAATCCCGCCAAGAGAAACGCTGTCCGGGAGTTTGTAGTTGAAGCTAAGGTTAATCTTGTATGTCTCCAAGAGACAAAAATTGAAGTTTTTGACCCGTATTTGGTAATGCAATGCATTGGACCATCTTTTGATGGGTCCGCTTACTTACCTGCATTGGACACTAGGGGTGGCATCCTCTTGGGGTGGAACACTGCGTATTTAGCAATCAACAACATCACTTGCGACACAAATTTCTTCTCCGGTTTGGTTCATAGCAAGGATGGCTCAGAATGGTGGTTGTCGGTGGTGTACGCCCCCCAAGGGGACGAGCTCAAGACTCAGTTTCTTGTTGAGCTACAACACAGAAGGGATGTGTCCCCGGGGCCATGGATGGTACTAGGTGACTTCAATATGATCATTCGCGTGAACGAGAAGAGAAATTCTAACCTCAACAGGGGCATGATGAGGAAATTTAAGGCGTTTGTGGATAACAATGAGCTGAAGGAGTTATACATGCATGGTAGGCATTTCACTTGGTCCAATGAAAGAGAACAGTTGGTGATGACTAAGATTGACCGGGTAATTGTCTCGATGGATTGGAAGCTCAACTTTCCGGATGTGCCGCTTCAAGCTCTCGCCTCTAATATCTCGGATCACATGCCACTTCATCTGTCTACCTTTGCCCCATTCTGTCCAAAGCACAAGTTTCGGTTTGAGATCTGTTGGACTCGTTTGGAGGGTTTCGATCAAGCTGTGAAAGACGCCTGGGTGTGTGAGGACGACATTGTTGACCCTTTCAAGAGGCTCAATGCGCTGCTTAGGAACGCCGCCTCTGCCCTTCAAGCCTGGGGTCAACGTAAGATTGGCAACATTAAAATTTAGATGGCGATCGCCAACTACGTCGTCCTTAAATTGGACAGAGCGATGGAGACCCGTCAACTTGATTGGAGAGAGAGGTGGCTGAGGAGAACTATCAAGCATGCGCTCCTGGGATTGGCCTCTCTTCAGCGTACCATAGAGAGACAACGATCTCTCTTGAGATGGATTCGCGAGGGGGATGCCAACACCAAACTCTTCCAAGTGGTGGCTAACGGCAGGAGAACCAAAAACTTCATCCCTCACATCAGGCACAATGGAGAGTTGGTCTCGCAGCAAGAGAGAAAGGAGGAGATTTTCTCAGATGCCTATGATCAGCTGTTGGGCCATGCTTTCGCTCGTGACGTCGACGTCGATCTTGATTTCCTTGATATGGCTTAGCTTGATCTCTCGGATTTGGACGCTATCTTCACGGAGGAGGAAGTTTGGAGCTCGATTAAAGAGATGCACCCGAAGCGGGCGCCAGGGCCGGATGGTTTTACCGCGGCTTTTTATCAGAAGGCATGGCCTATCATCAAACATGAGATCATGTCGGTGTTTCTTAAGCTCTATGTTGGAGATGGGCGTGGTTTCGGTAAGCTTAACCGAGCTCACATTGTCCTTATTCCAAAGAAGCCGGACGCTGAGGAGGTTGGAGATTTCCGGCCCATTAGCCTCCCGCACAGTGTGGCCAAGATTTTCGCCAAGTTGCTCGCGATCAGAGCGCGCAGAAGAATGAAAGAAATTGTCACGACCAACCAGTCAACTTTCATCTATGGGAGACATTTACACGACAATTTCCTCCTTGTTAGGAAGTGGTCAAGAAGTTACACGCTCATAAGGAGGCCAGCGCTTTTCTGAAGCTCGATATTACTAGGGCATTTGATTCTCTCAACTGGTCGTTCCTAATGGATGTGATGAGGAGCAAAGGTTTCGGCCAGAAGTGGTGCGGTTGGATCTCTATTCTACTGCGGACCGCCACCACCAAAGTGATCGTCAACGATGTTCCCGATAGAAGCTTCACTCATGCCAAGGGCCTTAGGCAGGGGGATCCTATCTCGCCCTTGTTATTCGTCATCGCCATGGATGTGTTGTCTTGAATCATGATCAAGGCTGCCAACCTAGGTGTCATTGGAAAGTTCCCGGGCATCGACGCTCATCAGTCGGTGTCAATCTACACAGACGACGTGGTCTTATTTGTTAAACCCAAGGAGCTGGACCTCACGTTTGTTAGATCGGTGTTACATGTGTTTGGTGAGGCATCAAGTCTTAGGATCAACTACCATAAGTCGATGGCCATCATGATTCATGGGGACAATAGTGATAGAGACCGGGTGCAGTCCCTCCTGCATTGTCGTTTGGGTAACTTCCCTTGCAAATATCTTGGACTCCAACTGGCCATTCGACAGCTTTCGAGGGCTGGCTGGCAGCCCATGACCGACCAAGCTAAGAGTTTCGCCCCGGCCTGGCAAAGGGGGCTGATACATCGTCCAGGTCGTTTGGTGCTCGTTAAGTCGGTGGTCGCGGCCAAACCCATCCATCATTTTATGATCACAGAGGCTCCAGTCTGGGTTTTTGAAGAGATCGACCAATGGATGCTCTCGTTTTTTTGGGCTGGCAAATAGAAAGCGAACGGCGGTCAATGCCTTGTTGCTTGGAATCCGGTCTGCAAACCGACTTGGCAAGGCGGCTTGGGCGTTCTTAATCTTCAGTTACAAGGGTTGGCCCTGAGAGTTCGATGGGAATGGCTCAGAAGGACGGACCCTGGCAGGCCATGACAAGGCTTACCCATGGCGGTCGATAGAGAGGCTCGGGAGGTTTTTGACAGCATGGTGCACATCTCTGTGGGGAAGGGCAGTAAGGTCCTGTTTTGGAGAGATCGATGGATTCATGGCTTTGCGATCAAGGATATCGCGCCGCTCATCCACGCGTTAGTGGACACGCGAACGATCAATCGTCGCACGGTCGAGGAAGGTTTATTGGAGGACCGATGGCTGCTTGATATCAGTGGAGAGGTAAACTTTGTAGGTCACATGCAGCTCTTACATCTCAACCTCGCATTCAGCACGATCAACCGCGATCCCACCAGGGACGATTCCTTTTCGTGGCCGGCTGACCCGTCCGGATCCTACACTGCTAAGTCCACTTATAATCGTCTTTGCCAAGGTGCCGAGAGGGCACCCTATGCCACTTGCATTTGGAGAAGTTGGGCCCTCGTGAAGTGTAAACTCTTCGTGTGGTTGGCAGTGCGGCTTTGACACGGTCATCATCGCGACCACTTGGGCTCTTTGGAAGCAACGTAACGTAAGAGTCTTTCACCGGATCAACCAGCAGAAAACTGCGCCTGAGCTGGCCCTTGCCATCATTGCGGAGCTAAAAGAATGAAGATTGACGGGCCTGGGTGGAGGAGGTTATGGTTCGTTTTGTGAGAACCTAGGCATAGGCTAGCTAGTTGGGTGTGCTAGGGTGTGCGTTTCTTTTTGGAAGTTCTCTTTCATTCTTGTAATTATTGTAAATGACATTTGCTCTCTTCTTCTATAAAGTTAATGTACGCCTTTGACGTACTTAAAAAAAAAGAAGAGATAACCGGATCGAGTGGAACTTGACGCCGGAGCAGCTCGCCGCCGATGATGAGCAATGGCGCAACGCATTACTAGTTGCCACGTCGGTAACGTTGGGTGGCGACGCAGCTAGAGCAGTTTTAAAAGCCGCACGCGGATCACGCTCGTCGTTCTTTTTCATTCTTGTTTGCAGAAGCATCCAAAAGTCAGTCAGCAACCCAAAGCAATTTTGCCCGAGAAACAATCATGCATGCATCCAGTCGATCGAGCATCATTTCCACTGGAACAACACTACAGGAACGGAAGGCCGAAGCAAAGACAGCTACGCGCACGCCATGGCGCTTTCCTTCGCCGTGCGCCGGCGCAAGCCGGAGCTCATCGGCCCGGCCTCGCCGACGCCGCGAGAGACCAAGCGCCTCTCCGACATCGACGACCAAGGGACGCTGCGGGCGAACATTCGCTTCTTCTTCTTCTACCGTGGGGAGCAGGAGTCTGGCGACGACCCGGTGGGCGCCATCCGCCGCGCCCTGCCGGAGGCGCTGGTGCACTACTACCCGTTCGCCGGGCGGCTCCGCGAGGTGGACGGCCGGAAGCTGGTCGTCGACTGCACCGGCGAGGGGGTCACCTTCGTGGAGGCCGACGCCGACGTCCGGTTCGCGGACCTCGAGGCGGCCGCCGGGCCCGGGCTGACGCCGCCGTTTCCATGCGCGGACGAGCTCGCCTTCGACGCGGACGGCGTCAGCGGCGTACTCGGCTGCCCCTTGGTGCTCATTCAGGTGACGCGGCTCCTGTGCGGCGGCTTTGTCGTGGGGCATCGCTTCAACCACGCCATGTGCGACGCCACGGGCACAGCGATGTTCATGAACGCCGTCGCCGAGCTCGCGCGAGGCCTCCCTGCGCCAACCGTCGCGCCGACGTGGTGCCGTGATCTGCTCGACGCACGAAGCCCTCCGGCGCCCTGGCTCCCGCACCGCGAGTACGACGTCGTGGCGCCCCTGCCGCCATCGCCACCAGCCGACGACACGGTCCTCCGCTCCTTCCTGTTCGGCCCTTCCGTCGTCGCCGCGATGAAGAGATCCCTCCCGCCTGGTCTCCGCGACACCGCCACGAGCTTCGAGGTGCTGGCCGCGTTCTTGTGGCGCGCCCGCACGGCGGCGCTGGCGCTCCGGCCGGACGAGGAGACGCGGCTGGTGACCGTCGTCAACATGAGGAGGCACGTCGCTCTAGGCCTGCCCGCCGGCTACTACGGCTACGCGTGTGCCAACCCCACGGCGGTGATGGCCGCCGGGGCGCTGCTGAGCGGCTCGATGGGAGAAGCGGTTGAGCTGGTCCAGGCGGTGAAGGCTTCGGTGACGGCCGAGTACGCGCGCTCCATGGCCGACCACCTCGTGCTGCACGGGCGGCCGGCGTTGGCCACGCCGAACCTGTTCGTTCTCACCGACCTCAGGCACGTAGGCCTCGATCGTGTGGACTTCGGCTGGGGCGAGCCAGTGTATGCAGGGGCGGCCAGATCAGTTCTCTGGGTGAGCTCGTTGGTCACCGTCAAGAACAGCGCCGGGAAGAACGTGGTGGCGGTGCTGGTCGCGCTGCCGAGGTTGGCAATGGAGCGGTTCGCGTCCGAGGTCGAGACGTTGACCAAGAAGGTTTAGATGCCAGCGACAGCCAAAGCCAACTGCATGATCGCTCAACGCTTCTTATGACGATGGGCTCTGCATCTGCATTTCACCTTGTGATGCTCTTTTATTTTTACCTTGCTCAATATCTAGTTATTTGGCTTCGTCACGTGTGACTTAGATTTGAATCGCCAATAATCATTCAAAGGAACCATCTACTATCAGTCGATTTACTCATAACGGTAGTCGCTATTGTAATCGAAAAACGTTCTAAAAAAAAAGGCAGCTACATAAAAGCAAAAGCAAATATCTTGACAAAAAACTATTTGCAAAGTTCATGTTCAAACCCCCATAATTCACAACATTAAAGCACTACTTGATGTGGAATTACAAATAATTATCTAGTAAAATCACTTGAATGGTTTTATATTGTCATTATTTCTTTTTTATCTTTAGATCTGTTCTTGTTCAATTTGCAGAGCGTCTATGGAGATCGTGACTTGCCCGTAAGGAATGTGGTAGAGAGATTGATACAAACATTGCATTAAACTAATAGCCCGGCGGTAGCTATCTCTAGAAGGATCCTAATGCAAGATCATTAAACTCTAACAACCTCCCTTAGTCACAATTTTGCTAGGTTGAGATTATGTTTGAATTCTTTCAAGTTTCTTACTCGAAGAGCTTTAGCGAAACCATCTCCAATTTGATCTTTTTGGAATTTTGTGAGTACCAAAAATATTTTTCATAATTATGTACTCCCTCCGTTCCTAAATATAAGTCTTTGTAGAGATTTTACTATGTACTACATATGGAGCAAAATGAGTGAATCTACACTCTAAAATGCATCTACATACATCCGTATGTGGTTCTTAGTGAAATCTCTCCAAAGACTTATATTTCGGAACGGAGGGAATATTTGTTTGCTGGTTTGTTTTGACATATTCTTGTGCAACTTGCATGTGTTCCTATGGGATTGCATAGTTTTTGGTTTCTACTTGATCAAAAGAGCCAATGGTTGTGTTCCTTACTGTAGCTATTGTCATATCATGTTTTCATGATTTATATACAAGTACAACTATTAGTAATTATTTATGGATGAGCCAGGCTCACAATTTCATTTAAGTTTTGTTTGGATGTAAGTTTACTTCACTAAGCAAACCATGACAATCAAGAAAGCCCAGGAGAGAGTGAGATTCAAGATAGAATATACCCAAGACACCCCCAAATTGTTTCTAAGAAGACTCAGAAGGCAAAGCTTACGAATGCGCAAGACATCCCCACTCTTCAACAACCTTTGTAGTTGAAGTGTATGACTTCCTTAAACCCCTTTTATCCATCCATTGCTTTTTGTGCATTTATCTTGGAACGTCCTTTTGTTTTTCTTTCTGAATAAAGTATGATGATCACCTTTGGTCATTATGTTCAATAAGGTTGTCAGCGTTGCTTGGATTGATTGTTTACTCTATGTGCTTCACTTAAATCTGCTAGAGTAATTGAAGTAGCGTACAGACAATGCTAACTTTCCATAGTTCTCTTATACCTGTTGGAAAGTCGGAAACTTGGTTGACGTATGATTTTGTTTTGACATATTCTTGCGCAAACTGCATGGTTTCTATAGGATTACATAGTTTTTGGTTTCTACTTGATAAAAAGAGCCTATGGTTGTGTTCCTTACTGTAACTATTGTCATACCATGTTTTCATGATTTATATACAACAAATATAACTATTAGTAATTATTTATGCACGCAAGCTTACATCATTAAGGAAGTCATTACAATCAAGGAAGCACGGGAGAGTGTGAGATTCAAGATTGAATATACCCAAGGCACCTCCAATTTGTTTCTAAGAAGACTCAAAAGGCAAAGCTTAGGGATGTGCAAGGCATCCCCACTCTTCAACAACCTTTGTAGTTGAAGAGTGTGACTTCCTTAAACCCCTTTTATCCTTCCATTGCTTTTTGTGCATTTATCTTGGAACATCTTTTTGTTTTTATTTCTGAATAAAGTATGATGATCACCTCTGGTCATTATGCTCAATAAGGTTGCGAGCGTTGCTTGGATTGATTATTTACTCTATGTGCTTCACTTAAATCTGCTAGAGTAATAAAAGTGGCATAGAAACAATGTTAACTTTCCATAATTCTCTTATACCTGTTGGAAAGTTGGAAACTTGGTTGAGGTATGATTTTGTTTTGACGTATTCTTGTGCAACTTGCATGTTTTCTATAGGATTACATGGTTTTTGTTTTCTACTTGATCAAAAGAGCCTATGGTTGTGTTCCTTATTGTAGCTGTTGTCATACCAAGTTTTCATGATTTATATAGTATAACTATTAGTAATTATTTATAGAGTAGCTAGGCTCATAGTTTCATTTAAGTTTTGTTTGGATGTAAGTTTACATCAGGAAGTAAGCCATCACAATCATGGAAGCCCATGAGAATGTGAGATTCCAGATTGAATATACCCAAGGCACCCCTAATTTTTTCCAACAAGACTCAAAAGGAAAAGCTTGGGGATGCGCAAGGCATCCCTACTCTTCAACAACCTTTGTAGTTGAAGAGTATGACTTCCTTAAACCCCTTTTATCCATCCATTACTTTTTGTGCATTTATCTTGGAACATCCTTTTGTTTTTCTTTCTGAATAAAGTATGATGATCACCTCTGGTCATTATGTTCAATAAGGTTGTGAGCATTGCTTGGATTGATTCTTTACTCTGTGCTCTTCACTTAAATCTGCTAGAGTAATAAAAGTGGTGTAGGAACTATGTTAACATTCCATAATTCTCTTATACCTGTTGGAAAGTTGGAAACTTGGTTGACACGTATGATTTTATTATGATTTCTTGGGCATATTTTGATTGGGATGGTTCTGAACTTTTAAGGTTGCATGATTTGGATAATCAAAACTTGATAAGAACATCAATCTAGAGATTGATTCAATAATACTGAATACTTGGCAATAGTTATGAGACATTCTTGACACTATTAATTGGCATTATAGAGCAGCTCCTACTATTTGGATAGGATATAGTGCATTCATTAATCGAACCATTTCCATTTCATGACTAGATTAGCATAGAGCTTGATGTCTACTACGCAACTTTATTCTTGTAGACTCGTGTTGGGCCTCCAAGCGCAGAGTTTTGTATGACAGTAACAATTTTCCCTCAAGTGGATGACATAAGGTTTATTAATCCGTGGGAGGGGTAGGATGAAGATAGTCTCTCTCAAGCAGCCCTGCAACCAAATAACAAAGAGTCTCTTATGTCCCCAACACACCAAATACAATGGTAATTTGTACATGTGCACTAGTTCTGCGAAGAGATGGTGATAAAAGTGTAGTATGGATTGTAGCTATGAGTTTTTGTAGTACGAACAATAAAAAACAACACGGTAGTAAATAGTAAAATGGAGCACAAACAATATTGCAATGATGGAAAATGAGGCCTATGGTGCATACTTTCACTAGTGCAATCTCTCAACAATGCTAACATAGTTGGGTCATGTGATTATCCCTCAAAGTGCAATAAAGAATCACTCCCGAGTTCCTATGAGCGGAGAACAAAAGATAGAAATTATTTGTAGGGTACGAAACCACCTCAAAGCTATTCTTTCCAGTCAATCTATCCTAGATTTCGTACTAAAATAACACAAAGCTATTCTTTCCCATCAATCTAACCAAGAGTTCATACTAAAATAACACCATATGACACACATCAACCAACTCTAATGTCACCTAGATACTCCAATGTCACCACAAGTATCCGTGAGTTAATTCTACGATATGCATCAAACAACTTCATGATCATAATATTGAATCCACACAAAGAACTACAAGGAGACCCCAAAGTTTCTATCAGAGAAAAGATAATAAAAATGTGCATCAACCCCTATGCATAGATTACCCCAATGTCACCTCGGGAATCCGCAAGTTGAGTGCCATAACATACATCAAGTGAATCAATATGATACCCCATTTTCACCTCAAGTATTCATACCGCAAGACATACATCATGTGTTCTCAGATCTGGACATTCAATCCGACAAGACAAAACTTCAAAGGGTAAAGATTCAATTCATCACAACAAGAGTAAAGAGGGGATAAACATCATATGATCCATCTATGTTAACAAATCCCATGATACATCAAGATCGTGACATCTCAAGATCACGAGAGAGAGAGATTAAACACATAGCTACTGGTACAAACCCTCAGCCCCGAGGGTGGACTACCCCCTCCTCATCATGGTGGCCGCCGGGATGATGAAGATGGCCACCGGTGATGATTCCCCCCTCCGGCAGGGTGCTGAAACGGGGTCTATATTGGTTTCTCGTGGCTATAGAGGCTTGTGGCGGCGGAACTTCTGATCTAGGATCTCTGCGAGGGTTTTTGGAATATTTGGCGATTTATAGGGCAAAGAGGGGTGCGGGAGGCCACCGAGGTGGGCACAACCCAGCGGGGCGCGCCTGGGGGCCCAGGCGCGCCTGGTGTGTTGTGCCCCCCTCGGGGAACCCCCCAGGTGCTGCGTTGGCCCATTGGATGTCTTCTGGTCCATAAAAAATCCACAAAAATTTTCGCGGTGTTTCGACTCCATTTGATATTGATTTCCTGCGATGTAAAAAACAAGCAAAAAACAACAACTGGCACTGGGCTCCGGGTCAATAGGTTAGTCCGAAAACATGATATAAAGTTGATATAAAATGATTTTAAAGCATCCAAGAATGATAATATAATAGCGTGAATACTTCATAAATTATAGATACGTTGGAGACGTATCAATATCCCCAAGCTTAATTCCTACTCGTCCTTGAGTAGGTAAATGATAAAGAAATAATTTATGAAGTGTGGATGCTAGCAAAGTGCATATATTTGATGATGATAATTTCAATCACTTTCCCTAGCATCATAACAACAACTCTTTCTCATAAAACTCATCATGACAAAGTAGCAACCAATTCACATGTTAAGGTTCAAACAATGAATTCTCTTGAAACTCAACAACCTATATTCTTTGTCACCAAACAATTGCAAT